AAATAATGTACCATGCACCAAAATACCATGAATGTTAGCGCAGATAATATATAGTCTCCTATTCCTTGGCCAAACTACCATGCTCAACATGACTTCCTTAAAATGATTACTCAAAATATTACTGATCCCCTCTGTGCATAAAAGTTGGTGCAACAGTGATTTGGGTTGAAAAGATTTGCTGAACCTGTCGGGAGCTAGATGTAAGGTTGAAAGATAACTTGTCAGACCATAATACCCTTTCCGTTGCCCATTGGTCCAGGTTTTATGCTCCATACACCAGGTTATGTCTTTGTCTGTTGGCCTTGGAAACAAGAGGATTCGGAGCAACATCCCTGCCATAAATCTGAGCTTTGTGAAGCACATGACGTTAAGTTTTTTTTCCAGCTCAGGTCACAGAGGATTCAACTCTGTGGTCATTTTTAAGGATCTACTTCTGAGGCACTTAGCAACTGTACTGTGAAATATCCATCTACTCCTCTTGGGAAGGAAAAAAAAAACTTTAAGCAAGGAGCCTGTTGAACTAAAGGAATCACTATGCTCATCAAGTAAACAAAGCCACAAAATCTAAGCAAAACAATCAAACGTGTTGTCACAAAACAATCCGCATAGCATTCAAGTGTCCACTATATGAGTGTAACATCTGCTCCCTCCAACCAACAGAGGGAGCCCTCACCTGAATACTGACATCACTCAATTTCTTCTGCAGCCACTTCCTGTTTGGTATATATAAAGGCCCTGTCCCAAATGGCGCACTTCATGCGGACTTTCGGTCTCGTGGACTTAAATTGCGCGTGCTCGCCGAGTCTACGAGTCCGTAGGCCGTCCCATTTAGCATTTTAACGCTCTGAAGTGTGCTCAGCAGCGCCCCCTTTGTACCCTTGAAGCGGTCTTCCGCGAAGCCCGCATAGATGCAGGCTCCACGCACTTTAACTACCCAGGAATCCTTGCGAAAGGCCAATCAGACAACGGATGGGAGGAGATTTCGCTCACGGACAATTGTTAACATGGCTGAGAAGAAAATATTTAAGTGTAATTATCATTACGGTTTTTATGACAAGTTTATACAAACATTATGATCATCGACCAGTGGTTGATGTCTCAAACATAGGCTAATAATAGCGAGCTGAATAATACGATCGCATTATGATTCATTAAATAAATAGAACAGAATCTCAGGGCTTTACTGAGTCATATGTAAACACAACAACAATAGGCAGCATATTTCCCCGAACCTGTAGCTCCTGTCCATAACAACAATCAGACCGTCTTCCTGTTTCCGGTGTGACGATCGAGTCTGTCGCAAAAATACCTCTCAATGCGCTGAGTTCATTACAATGAGCTCCTAGTTAATAATTCTCTGTAATAATTTAAATGTCGCTCCAAACCTGTATGACTTTATTACTTCTGTGAAAGCACAAAATAAGATATTTTGAATGTTTCAACTGCTTTTGCCCATACAAGGAAATTCAAAAGGGTCCAACACAACTTTAAACACAGCCAAAAAACAAAGCACTGAAACATTCTTCAAAATATCTTCTTTTGTGTTCCACAGAAGAAAGAAAGTCATACAGGTTTGTAACGAGGTTCAGTAAATGATGACAGAATTAGAATTTTTAGTGAATTTACCTCTATATTTTAGAAACTGTTGTTCTTAGCATATATGAAGTACTTCACAGTTTCTGTGACCGAAGCTCTTGCAGTTCAGATATTGACTAATTGGCCTCTTTGGATTTCTGTTAGTTGCCTCCGGTTACTTTGAAACTTAAACATCAAAGTGCTAATTGTCAACCCTCCTGCATAGCACGATATGTCCTGCCAATATGAAATCAACTTTCCTTTGAAGCTTTGCTTTACGTCAAGTTACTTCAAAGTTTAACATGTGATGTTTCTATAAATAGAAAAATATTTCTCATCAAATGTGGAACATATTTCAAACAAAATAGACAATATATCCATGGGAAGATCTGATGGTACAATGACTAACAATAACAAGTGCAAGTCCTAGGTCAGGCGGTTCTATCTGACGACGAAATGATAGGCTGGTGATGACATGAAGAGAGGAGTTCCTCACAATTCAGAACAGATTTTATTTTTGAGCTTGGATATGATCACCCTGTGAAAGCTAACAGTATGTTAAAGGTGCCATATCATTAGGAATCAAATGTTCCTTGATCTTTTGACATACATGACCTTGATGTACTATGAAAACATGCTAATTTTCGAAACTTCTGCTCATTTGTGAAGAGGGTGTTTCTTAAAGGCGCAGCAGCAAAACACATACTGTTTATTTCAGCCAGACAGAGGGTGGAAAATCAATATGCAAAAACATTACATTAAAAAAATTATGTTAGAGGAACGCTAAGGAAGAAAAAAATAAATTATGATATGACCCCTTTTAAATAAAACACTAAAACGCATTTCATTTCCGACTGTCTCATTTCACACCTTGAAATTTGGAGCTCACACAGAAGCAAAACCCATTTAAAGGAAAGAGCAATCCAAGTTTTGCACAAGGGAAGTGATAATGAAACAAATTTAATTTTGGCTCAAAGACAAGCATCTCCTGTCTTTCTGACCGCAGATTCAGCATCATGTGCCTGAGACGGTGGCCTCATTCAGTGATCATCTCTCCATTAAATGTTTATGTTGTGGAACAAAGAGGAAAAGCTCATTAATGGTTAATCCATAATTCCCCAATGGAGGTCATAATGGGACGCCTTAATGAGAACTCATTGCTTTTGAGTTGAAGGAGGTGACAGATGAAGGATGCCTAAGTTCATTTAAGGATTGTGAGTGCGGGCTGGTAGTGCAAGTCTCAGCACATCGGAGCTGTTTTGTGTTTTTGGAGGCAACAAACAATGGATTTATTCTTCTACCTGGATTGTAGAGGTAGATTCTGGAGAATCGCGTTTTTTTTTTTGTTTCAAATAGAGATCACGATTCTCCCATTATTCTAAACAGACAACTGAATACAATAACACACTTTACTATAGATTCTGACAAATGATTAATTGCTGCAGTCTATTTGTTAGAATTAATTATTTTTAAAAAACATTGGTACGAATGAATGATTCAATAACCCACTCAAAAATACGTCACTCGTTTCATGACTGGATGAATCAGCGGTTTTGAACAAATATCTTGAATGAACGATTCAATGACTCACTCATAAATAATTCACTTGTTTCATTACTGGATGAATCAGCGTTTTTGAGCAAATTGCTTGAATCAATGATTCAATGACAAACACAATTTTTAACAGTCACTTGTCGCAACCTAGTCAGTCCCTCCAGGATTTCACGATTTTTTTGTGTGATTTTTGCGATCAAAATGACTGATTTTGTGGTGGTAATTTCCAGAAATTTGTGAAAAAATTTGCGATTTTTATATTTTATAATTAGGACATCACATTTACCATAATAGTATTATGTCAGATGCACAATAGTCATACATGACACAAATGACAAACAAATTGCATAAAGCTTGTTTATTTGGTCTAATCAAATTCTTTTTTTTAAATTGTGCTGTAGCCTATTGTTGTTGCTTGCTTGAATAACATTAACAGCACTGACAACAGCAGGTATATTAGGTTACTGTCACTTTAAGACCTACTACAGTAATGACAAACGTCCCAATCAGTTATTACTGATTGTTTTACGTAAATACTTGCCAAGATTAATATTTTTAAGTAATTGTAGCTATGTGTATTTGTTCAAGCGCTATAAAGAGAATTCAATATTCTAACTAGGATGACAGGCGGTGACACGCAGTCAGTCAGTCACACACACACACACACGCTTGCAGTCAGAGACAGACTGTCACTCGACTGGCTGAAATTAGTTCTCTTTCACGGTATGCTGCGCTTTTAAGAATTCTTTTTAGTACCATCGAGCATATCATACTTTTTGTTATGTCATTCAATCATGTTAAATGCGTTAATAAGTTTGCCGTATCCCAATGAAAACCTGGGCGGTTATGTGAGAGGGCAGGAGAGACGCATTTTCTTTCGCCATGTTTCTGACAGACCGCTCACAGACATCACGCGTGCGCAACATCTGTATCCACGTAAAAATGCATTGAAACTTTAACTAGATATATTTCAATTGGGTGATTATAATTTAAAGTTTTATGAGGTCATTTTTTGAATTTTTGTGATTATTTTGCGGTTAAATTAGGAATAATGCAGGATCGCAAAAAAACATTTTGTTGATTTTGCGTTGTATTCAGCGATCGCAGAATCGCGAAAAACTGGAGGGACTGCCTAGTGGCGTAACAATGTAATCGATACAATCGGTATTTGAAGCGCCAAAAGCTTACTTTCGCTATCTGCAAGAATAGCTGCAAGAATAGCACCAGCTTTCTGTAAGACAACCCGTTCAAAACTTGTATCCCAGTACTTCTGTGATCATTTGATTTATTGTAAGACAGAAATAACGATACTGTCTCTTTGTGAATTTGTTTCATACCTATACACGACAACTGCTCTCTCTGGGTCAGCAGAAGCGCGAACACTGATTTGAATGTTCCGGTGTGATTTTGTCAAAGGTTTAATAGACATAGATTGAGTGGTTGTTTGAATCGAGATTGTGATCTTGTAACGATTAATTGTGCAGCACTACTGGATTGACTTAAAAAAAATACATTGGTCACCAGTGTATGTTGTAGTTTGGATGCCGGTTCCCAACCAAACCAGCACTAAACGGCATATATTAGCTTGAAACTTCCTGCAGCCCATTATCATCAAAAAGGAAAAAGGTTATATATTTTATGGCACATCGCATTCATCCATTTCTCAGATCATTAATCTATCAGTTTATTTTTGACAGATGCTTTAGATAAAAACCCATCCGGCAGCTCTCTTCGCTATAGTCTAAGCTCCCATTGATGTCATGATGAATATTCTCTGATAAATCAAGCCTTTGTCATAAGAAGCATCCCAGTGATACTCTGAGTGGCGAGACAATGCCACATAAAATAATAAAAGACTGAATCCCACTTACCAGGCCATGTTGAACTCCACGTGGGCGTCAAAGAAGCCCACAACAGGAGCAGTGGCTGCGTTCCAGCCGTGAATCCTGGCCCGAATGAGTCCCTCTCTCTTACTGTTCCTCACGATCTTCACCAGGCCAGGATATCGCTTATTCACGTAATGATCCAGATTGAACTTCAGCTCCACTACGAGAGAAAAACAGATCATGTGAAGCCAATCTTCCTACGCCAATAATAGGGATCTCGACATCTGTCTATTTATTATATGAAGGTCATATTGTTTTGTAAAGCCTTTTCATGCCATTTTGCATTTCTTTTATGTTTGTTACATTTATGCATAGACTTTATTGTTAAGATATCGATTAATAATGGTTATCGATTCAGGACACCAAACTTACACATTCTAATCATCTAAACAAAGAGTGAAATATCATTATTTGTGTGAAATTTTTCTCCAAATTGACTACATTTTTCCAAATGTTGGTGTTCTTTGTTATTAAGGACACAAAGGAGTGTAAAGAAGATAAGAAATGTAATGTGTGAAGAAAATGGATCAAGGTAAAAATAAATCAAGGTAAATAATGTTTTAATCTTGCATCTTTTTTGTGCGTCATCAAGCTGCAATTTTGTTAAATTCTGCAAAAAGTTTGAATATATTAATTACGTATGTTTTTAGATACATATGATGCAAACTGTTAAAAGTTGCCTCTTAAAAAGACTACAGTCTTTTTTTCCTCAAAATGTTTTAAATGTCCTTTTCATCACCCTCAGAATCTGAGATGTGATGGAAATGTCCTCTAAAGAACACACACACACACACAAACACACACACACACACACACACACACACATTTTAAGGTGTCCTTGTTACAGTGCAATTATACAATTAATTAATGAGTAATAGTAATTAACTACATGTACTTATTACATAATAAGGGTTAGGGTTAAGGTTTGGTGTAACTTAAATGTGTAACAGGGACACGATAAAATAAAGTGTGTTCTTGTGTGTTCTTCTGTGATATAGTAATATCCACAGTTACATATAAGTAAACAAATTAAACATTACATGGCTTTTTCATGTGGGCATTACAAGTCCACATGGCTAAAATCGGAAGAAACACCCCTAGACCCATTCGCTCATGAATCTGAACAAACAAAAATGTTGAAAAAAAGATTTCAGGTTTAACGAAAAGGCTTGAGTGGACTCCTATATGATAAACTTACAGCATAAAAGAAAAAAAAACAAGGTTTTAGTGGCACTATAAATGACATGGTAAATAAATCTGCCTGAATCTCCCCACTCCTTTAGTTTCTCAGAGTTAGCTTAGCTATCTGTCCTCATTCAAAAAGAGCTCTGGTAAGTAAACAAATGGAGTGCAAGGAGAACACGCACACACTCAGAGAGACACACGCTCACATATACACACTCAAGAAAGATAGATGAGTGTTTGGGCTCTTTCCTGCAGGTTGCTGAGTGCTCTAGTTTCTATCGGGAGAGGAATAAGGAGGAACAGAGCACTCTTTAAGGCACTGATGCACACAACTACCTCCCCCTCTCATTCATCAGCTCAGAAGAACGATTAACATTTCAATCTTTCAGTGCAATGGGAACCCTTGAAACTGGACTTAATCACCCAAGAATATGATTTGAAATTACTTTACATTACTTTTATGTTTGCCCATAAACATGTATATGACACATAGGCCATAGAACAAGTATGACTGTTTACTTTAACATTATATAATATGTATTAAAGTGCTCATTTATGTTATTTTAAAGGTTCCTAATGTTGTTTTGGAGGTCTCCTAAAATAGGTTTGCATTCAGGTCAAAAAACTATTTCATTTTCTCACATTATACATTGCAGCATCACTTCTTTTCTTACCGTGTCTGAAATGGTTCGAGCAAGGATTCTGTCTCTCTGTTCCCCTCCTTTCCGAGAGCCTACTCTGCTCTGATTGGTCAGATGGCCCATTCTATCGTGACTGATCTACCGCTTACAACGCGTGTTGGAAATTAAACGGCCATTACCATATCTAAATTTCAGCTCTTGAGCTTTCTTAGCACTTGTATACGCAGTGATACGAACATTAACAATGGTGTCAGTTTTATCGTATCAATTTGAGCCCAAGTCCTGATCCTTTGGAATTAAACGCAAAGTTTATTTGCTTTCGCAGCACAGAAAACATGTCGACAACCCGAACCTACAACTACAGTGTTTGAGGGCTGGTCAAAGTAGAATTTTTTTTTATAGCCAGTGAAGACCATATAGGTTGGTATTATGCAAATTTATTACAAACCTATGTAGTTTCGTGCAAGAAGTAAGACTGGAAATCTGGAATTACCGATGACTTGTTTGAGGCAGTTAATAATCGGTTCTTTCTTTTAGGAGATAATAACTCCATTTATCGTGCACTTTGATCTTTGAAAATTTGCAGACCTTGACATTCGCAAACCGGTATAATACACACTACATGAAAGGATCCGAAAAACCATAGGGGCACTTTAAGATTATGATTGTTTTACGATTATGATTACTTTGATGGATGATCCCATTTCTCATTAGTGTAATGTAAAAATCAAACAAACAAACAAAAAAAATCCCATTCTCATTACTGATACTCATACTCATTACTCATACTCATTACAGCAAACTACTGACAAATAAGACTGATTGTCCGGAAAATAAAAATGCAGAAAATATAATGCAGGATTTGCTTTTTATATATAAGATAAAATAAGTAATTTAATAATATAATCTTACATGTAATGTTTAAATTCCTTTTAATTTGATTTGGACATTTAGGATTCGTTTTATTCCGTGAGATTCACAAGTGCTTTTGCGAAAAGCCTCTGCTAAATTAATAAATGTAATGTGAATGTATAGTACATAAATATGTTAATAAAAAGCTGACTGCTTTTAGTGTCAGCTATGCTCTGGTTATTATAACACGGCCACATTAGTGCGGGCACAAAATGCCATTGTGTTGAACAGCGCGCGCGCGCGCACACACACACACACACACAAACGTATTGTGAAAAGTTATAGGATTCCCTCTGGTGCGTTCTGGGAGATACTGAAATTAAGAATCATGAGGCAGAAATATTTTATAAATTCCTCAATCAATAAAGAACAAATATCCATCCATCATACTGTGAATAGAAAAGCGAAAATAAGTTACGCAACACAGCAGATCAAAATTGAGCATTATGAAAATATTTGAAATGCATGCTGATCCAGATAAATGAGCTATGGCAAAGGGATTGCTTTGATTTATTTAATCAACATAGGGGTTTTTATCATTTTTCATCTGCATACATCAAGAGCTCTGCCTTGATATACAACCCCACACAATAAATAGTGAAGGCTGCATATGGCACTGGAATAGCAATTAATGTAATTAAAGAAAGCCATTTTCCTCATGAATGCACATGTCTACATGTGTGCCATAACACTTGTGTAAAAGTAAAGCTTAAAGGGATAGTTCACCCAAAAATTTAAATTCTAATAATTCTCCTTTTGTATTCAATGGAATAAAAAAGTGTCTGGAACGACATGAGGGTGAGTAAATGATGATAAAATGTTCATTTTTGCATGAACTATTCACCACTAATGTTATCTGCAGAATTTGGCTAAATATACAATTAAATTCCAAATGTATTGGGGTTTTAAATGAGTAGTTTGCTTTTAGGGATAAATCCAGATGTCATTTACTAGCTGGAACCTCAAATAAAAGAATGTCCTTGAAACGTATTAAACAAACTCTTCATCTAAAGGGCCAAAAATTGGACTGAAACCCATTATTATCTGTTTACAAGCAATGTCTAAATGAATTGAATTTCAAGGGCGCAATACAACTCCATGTCTGATGAGATGAGAAAAAATAGATGCAATGTCCCTTAATATTATTCACAAGGTGAGGATGAATGTTACCCTGCATAACAGGATTCAGCTGAGATTAATCCAAACAGACAGGGATGATGGAGGGACAGAAAAGGAGGACAAAAACCTTATTGGCTTCAGTGAACAGTGTCACACGAGTACGGCACTCTATTAAATATCTTCATAATGGACAAGAGACAGAGAGACAGAGACGCGCTCGCTAAGGTCAATTCATTATTCAAGTGTTGAGGGTGTCTGTGCTTCCAGTCGTTTTTTGGGGCGTGAGCGCTAAACCAGAGACGACAAGCTACAGCGCTGAGAAAAGGTCAAGTAGGCAACCTTTGCATGTTAACAGTTTAATGCCAGCTAGAAGAAGCTGAAACATCAGCAGGAAATTAGCATATGAAATTAGAAATGGTCAACGCCGCATCCAGAGGAGCTGACTGTGTGAGATAACTGCAAATTGGGAAGATAGTGGTACTGCAAGTCATCTGTTCTCCACAACGCTGTTCCTGTGTGGGTATCTCTTTGTGTTCGCAAACAAGATTGAGAAGTACTGCTGTTTTAAAAGTGTCTATCTGCTAAAGGGACATTTTGTCAACACACACACACATATACATCTATACATATATCACATATACATCCACTATCGGTCAAAAGTTTGGAATCATTAGGATTTTTTTTGTGTTTTTGCTCACTAATGCTGCATTTATTTGATTAAAAATACAGTAATACTGTGAAATATTATTACTATCTGTTTATATTTGAATATGCTTTAAAATGTAACTCATACCTAAAATTTCAGCATCATTACTCCAGTCTTCAGTGTCACATGATCCTTCTGAAATCATTCTAAAATGCTGATTTGGTGCTCAGTTATTCTCAAGAATTATTGATTTTCAGTTAATAATAATGGTTCTTATTCAATGCTAAAAACAGTTTTTGCTGTTTAATATTTTTGTGGACACCATTATATGTTTGATTCTTTGATGAATAGAAAGTTTAAAAGAACAGCACTTATTTTATTTAATATTATAAATGCCTTTACTGTCCCTAATTTAATGCACCCTTGCTGAATAAAACTATATTATTATTATTACGATTATTATTATTCAAATCTTACGGACCTCAAACTTTTGAATGATATTCACAAAAACATTAAGCAGCAAAAACTGCTTCCAACATTGATAATAATAAGAAATGTACCAAATCAGCATATTAGAATGACCGTTTTGACACTGAAGACTGTACTAATAGTTGTTGAAAATTTCCATCACTGAAATAAATTACATTTTAAAATATATTACTTAAGATATCATAATAGAAGAAAAATTGAAAAAAAAAAAAAGCTATTTTAAATTGTTATAAAATTTCACAATATTAATGATTTTACTGGATTTTTGATCAAATAAATAATATTGAGAATCAGAGAAAATGATTTAAAATGTTTGATTTTAATCTCCAGAATGAACCAATTTGCTAAAAATGAATTCCAAACAATGCATCAGAGATTGGCCCTGTGTCAAATGGCACACTCGATGCGGACTTTGGTCTCATGGTCTTCGCTCAAGCGTGTCCATGAGGTCCACAAGCCTGTAGGGTATCCCATTTATCATTTTATGATTCAGTAGGGTGCTCATGAGCGGCCCCCTTTACAACCTCTATGATGCCAAGCCAAACCTGCACTCAAATGAACTACTACCCAACAGTGATGAAGAGGATTCTAGAAGAGAGTGATTGATTATTGCTCTACTTGCATGGTTTTAAGGCTGCATGCTATAAATAGAACAGAAAACATTTTCAAGTTAAATTGTAAAAAAAAAAAGGTTTAAAAACACTATTTTGAGAACACTTGAGTCGCTGTCGCAGTCACACTAATAACATTTTTACAATTTATTTGTATCAATACTTTTATACTGGTCTCATTTGACCAGATAAAATGACTGCAAAATGCACAGTATCAGTGGCAACAGTAAGAATGTCTTTGATTTTAAAGGAGCGATCTGTCTTTTCTTTTAAAGATTATTTATAAACCCAGAGCTGTGTGCAAGAGTACACACCTAAAGGTTTACTCTCGAGGTGTTTGTCTCTTGCTGTCTATTTTTTCCTCTTTTTCTCAGTCTTTAAGCTCTGTCTCTAACCAAGCAACAAAAAGGTTTGTTTGCTCAGACAAAACACAGACTGTAGCTGCTTTCCAAAACAGGTTAGTCATATTTTATCTTGGGATGTCGCGCTGTGTTTATTTACACAGCATTTTATGTACACTTTCTTTATAAAATCTTTTATGTCTGGAGCAACAGGAGAAACTGGTAAACATTTAACAGCTGCTTTCGTTTCAGACTAAACAAAGCAATAAACAAATCACAGAGGGATGTGTCCTTACCGCTGTCACTGTTGTCATCCACCAGTATGATTTCTTTGAGCAGGTGTGCTGGGGTGTGGTTGACCACGCTGTGAACAGAACGCAGGATGACAGATAGAGCTTCGTTCACAAAGATGAAGACGACGGAGATCTGGGGAAGGTCATCAGGGTAGGTCAACTGCTTACACCTGGAGACAACAGACATCAGTGTATTTATTTATTGTTCACAATTCATCAGAACATAAAATGTATTATTATTATTATTAATACTATTATTATTTATTAATAATATTATTTATTATTTAAATTAAAATCAAGTCTCAAACTAAGCATTTTACGCGAAATATTCTGGATATCTAAATATTTTGGAAATACATCACAAAAATTAAATATAAGGCAAAAGGCATTTGTTCTTAGGACATTGCACTAGTTTGAGAATTTAGCTTTCACAACATGTCTTCTTTCAGACAAGTGGAATAAAAACATCCAAAATACACACATTTAGGTGTATATTTTGTTAACCTGTACATATCTTTATGTAAATCAAGTTTCTTTCCATTTTTATTCCTATCTATATTCTGAAGGATTTCATATATCATTTGCCTGAAAAACATAATTCGCCTAAAAACATAGTGGAAATATATATTTTTTTTCTAGTTGTTGACAGTATTTTCTGATTCATGGAGCTATGAAAAGAGATATCCAAAGTCCCTTCTGTATAAACTTTTAACTCTAATATGCCAACAAAATTAAATTAAATATGATATGGCTTTATCCAATGGTTCCGATTTCTTAGAGAGCAGGGTGGCCGATATAAAGCCGATATATTTATAATATATACTTATACTTTATATTTATTTTACTTAATATTTAATAAATCAACCATAAGTTCTTGATGAACATCTCACTGTGAAATCTCTCCCTCTATCCATCCTGAGCCCTGGGAAAACAGCATGAGGATCCTGCCTGTGTGGACTTTACTCTCAGCTCTTTTAATATGGCTGAGGATTACGGAGCTCAGGAATAGGTTATATTTCATAAAATACGATTACAGAGTCTAGGTTTGGCATTTAGCAGATTAAAATTCTCTGGGCAATCACATTATTGAAGAATACCAAAGTTGTTTGCTCACAAAAAGGTATAGTGAACAAAAATTGTATTGGAAGATGAACTGGTATTAGTTAATAATGAGCATCGGTACAGTATATATTCTAAAATGTGCAGACACTACAACAATACACACACACACACACACACACACACACACACACACACACACACACACACACACGAAAAGCACTGTTTATTTAATTTGTATCTTTGTTCTTATTTTATTACTGACTCTTTACTTGTCTTTAAAGGGATAGTTCGGCCAAAAATGATATTTAAACGATGCATTACTCACCCTCAAGCCGTTCGAGATGCATATGTCAATCTTGTTTCAGACGAACACATTTTCAGTTATTTTAGAAAATGTCTTAGACCCTTCAGTGGATATAATGTGAAGCAATGGGGTCCACCTCCTTCAAGTCCCAAAATGTGCATATATCCTTCACAGAAGTAATCCATCCGGCTCCAGGGGGATAAACGAAGGCCTTATGAGGGTAATCCGTGCGGTTTTGTCGTAAAAATATACATATTTAAAACTTTATAAATAAAAATATCTGACTTCCGGCAACGATCGACGCGCGTCCACGGGTGATGGAAGTCGGCGTACGAGGTAGGACGTAGCGTCGTGACGTAGAACGAACGCGCCCGCGCAGCCAGAGAGCTATGCAGAGAGCAGAGCAAAACATCACCCGTGAACGCGTGTCGATCGTTGCCGGAAGTCAGATATTTTCATTTATAAAGTTTTAAATATGTATATTTTTACGACAAAACCGCACGGATTACCCTCATAAGGCCTTCGTTTATCCCCCTGGAGCCGGATGGATGACTTCTGTGAAGGATATATGCACATTTTGGGACTTGAAGGATGTGGACCCCATTGCTTCACATTATATCCACTGAAGGGTCTAAGACATTTTCTAAAATAACTGAAAATGTGTTCGTCTGAAACAAGATTGACATATGCATCTCGAACGGCTTGAGGGTGAGTAATGCATGGTTTAAATATAATTTTTGGCCGAACTATCCCTTTAATCATGTTCTAAATTTACATTAATTATGTTTTTGCTGTATATAGAGAATTGTGACATTTCACAGTTATCTAAACATTTGAACCACTGTCCAAACCAGCCCAGTAGAAGAGAAAATCCTCAGCATTGAAACCTGCTGAAGCAGCTCTAAATATGTGCTGTGCTATTAAATGAAAGATCAAATATGATAGAGCAATAGAATGAACAGTGAAAGTAACAGAGGCTTGTACAATACATTTTAACAGGCATATTACCAGTAAGCATGAAAACAACTGAAGCAAATATATATTTGATAAACAAATTAAATCAACGAATATGATTCATATTCTTTTGGTTTCTATACCTAATATATTTAAAGCTGCAGTCCGCAGTTTTTCCTCTTTGTCACCATTTCTGTTCAAAATCTGCAATTGCAGTCATTCGCGGAATTATTAACTTTACGTGAGTTGTACTTCGACACCCTCGACACGGCACAGCGCGGATGAACACAATGTTTGAGGAGAGTGTGCAGCTGTCAATCACCGCACCGTTGTCGATACTGGCATTCAGAATCACAGATTATTCTTTTTGGAAGTATGACCAACATAAGAATTTTCACCGGAAAATGTCATCTGAACTAGTAAGTAACATCCACTTTTGTTCTGGTTCTGACATTGCAGTAAATCGCGCTGATTAAATCTAACAATCGCTTATCATATCACGCAAAACCGTGCAAATTATACTTTGTTCTCAAATTGTTAATGTTAACAACGTCAGCATTGCGTGACTACATGTAATGTGCTTCCGATATGTATCCTTGTTTTCGCACGGCCCGGTTGCAGTCTCTTTTTTTCTGTAGCCACTCCGAAGTCGAACGAAGTCTTTTGCATTTTACAGCGGGTGAATCTGTTGTCACTGGTGATTGTTATTTGAACCTTTCTGGATCCGCCATCAAATTGATAAGTTTAATTTTGTCAAGTGCTGTGAGAAAAGGCTATAAATCTCCACCTCCAAAATCCTCACACGCAATATAGCCTACTAGCCGAGACTCCTTCTTTATGTGTACAGATGTGACGTAATGACGCAAAGACATGCTCGAATCTCCCGCGGAAATCCACCAGTACCACTGGAATTAAAAACATTATTACAAGCTTACCGCTTTGAATCGAGCTACGGCAAGCAGATAGTTTTGAACACTGGCTGGTTATGTATTTTCTCAAAAATGTATTTTGGATAATTTTTAACCCCCAAAAAGCTACGGACTGCAGCTTTAAAAATTACAAATGCAGTAAAAATACAGATATGGGTATCGGCAAGTACCAAAAAGGAAACTACCGGTAGCGGCCTGGTTCTGGAAAAAGTGGTATCGGTGCATCCCTAATATATTTGTATATATACATATACAGTATATTAGGGCTGGGTATTGACACAAATTTCACAATTCGATTCGATTTCGATTCACAAGCTTTCGATTCGATTCCGATTCGATTCGATTCAATATTGATTATTTTGGATATCAGGTACAATACATGGCAAATTTTCTCAAGGAAAACAAATCTCTTGCTGTAAACTATGGGAGTCAGTTGTAGCCTACTAGGCTTCATTAGCCTACTATAATATTGAAGGTAAAAATTAACTGATTTGTAGCTATACAAACACTTAAATTACACTTTTATTTATTTATATAATAATAAAGTTATATGAAATATAAACATTTAAATGGTGGCTGTCATAAAAACTTGCCAGATTTATTCAAACATGCATTAAATATCGAAGAACATTAAAAATTATAATGAATATGTAATATGGTGCATATATTTAGCAAAATGCTCCTCTTTAGAGTTAATTTTTCTAGCTGACTAACGAGTTTACGGTCACACATGGTTTTTCTGAGGTAAATGTGACGTTACATGACATTGTTTACAAGTTGTTTTACTGACGTCTTTCCACGGTTGAAACACTGATTGAGCGATTCCATGTGACATGATACGGATTTCGATAAGTTGTACTCTATCTTTTAACACACTTTCAGACGTTCATTCATGTTTATTTCGCGCTGTAACTGGTATTATTAAGGCAGAAGAGGAGATCATGTGCGCTCCGCGCTGCTGCTTCTCTTGAGCTGAGCTGAGCCAGAGCGATCTCACGCCACAGCGCCAAAACGGTATTTATGTTTTTGAATTTTGTAAGAAAAATGGACGTAATTTGAAATTTGAGACTTTATTTAGTATCAATAGTAACAAAGCACGAAGATTATTGCGATTTATTGGATGGGATGCGCGCTACAATGTTCCATTCATTCATCAAATGAAAACAGGATGACTAATCGATTCTTGAGATTTAAGAATCGATATCGGTTCGTAAAAATGAGAATCGATTAATATCGAGAAATCGATATTTTTTACCCAGCCCTACAGTATATATATATATATATATATATATATATATATATATATATATATATATATATATATATATATATAGATATATATATATATATATAGATATAGATAGATATTGCAGAACTATCTGCATTTTGAAGAGTTGTATACAGTGTTTCAGATGAGGACATTTTTTCATTTATACTGCAAGACAACAATTACAGATCACAGATGACTAATGGTCCACTAAAACAATGACTCTAATCAATTTATGCATGGGAATTTCTTTCATTACAACCTCCATAAATGATTTTCCTGTAAGATCTGAGGTCAGCAGGCAATTGTGCCTAGTCTTAACACAACCACACTATCACGAATACTGGTATTTTTATGAGGAATGTTAAACGGTGAAGGCTTTTTTTGAAATAACAAGCACAAAATGTCCATGTCTGACAGACATCACAGAAATACTGTAGGTGTCCAGAGAAATCACAAAAGTCTCTGTTTTAGCCCAAGGCTCTGTAAACGGCAAAAAAGGATCTGACCATGGCTTGTGTGTTACAGCCTATCAGAAATCCTGGAGTTGCACCTCTACCCGTCAGTCATACTATGCACTGGGGTTTGCAGCCTTGACTTTGAAGGATGGAGGTTTAGAGAGGAGGTATAGTTGAAGAGATGAGTTGTGGTCTG